GAATATTCCGATGCTCTCTCCGTGGCTCTCCAGTTCTTCTAAGTGCAAAAATGTAAGTTGCTTTTTGCGTAATTGGTCTTCACAGAGCGGTATTTCTCATTTTTGCAAAGCAATACCGAGAAAATCGCGAACATAGCATTCCCGGGTTCCGCTCCGGGTCAAGTCGTCGGGCCGCGTGAGAAAGAGTAAGAGCACGTGGCAACATGTTATTGGCGGCCGAACGTAGCTCTACGTCCGGTCAGAGGACGTAATAATTGTTCCTAATCCCCCACCCTCACCCAAAAAAAAAAAAAATCCTTACGGACAAATCACAGAAAATGTGCATAAAATACGCTGCAGCTTCGTGTTACCATCAAAATCAAACTACTCCTTTATTTTAAAGTACATTCATTTTCTTTTTGTAAAACGGAGACGTCAGTCAACTTACCGACTACGAGGCAGCTTCGTCTATTCTCTGAGTTAATCTCCGTTTACTTGACTTATGCTGTACGTGACCATTTCCCGCTGGAGTTCTTTCTCTTCCGAGCTCTGTTTCTCCTGCTGTTTAGTTCTACCTCAATCGTCGCTGTGAAGGAGGGATTTTTTGTTGGTCCAATCATGGAAAACATCATCAACACTTGCTCTGATTACCTTAAACATCAATTCAGATGGCAGACAGGCATGAAGGAGAAGCTTGAAAGGCTGCGAGAGAACCACCCCAAGATCCAAGCTGTCTTCTTTGCAGCTAACCCACCACAAATTAGCGATCAGAACCCGGCTATCAACAAATGGATATGGAAGTTGAGAGATGCTGTTGATGGGCAGATTATGTGCTCGATGAGTTTGAGTACATGAAGCATAAATAAAAGCTCCCCCAAAACACGAAAGAAACAAAGGTGCGTTCTGCCACCACGGGCTTCCTATTTGATTCTGCTCGCGAATATATTAATTTGATAATCTATTTCTAATTAATTTGACCAGAAACGAAAGGTCACGATCTTCCTATTTGAAAGCTGTATTTCAGCTTGCTTTGTGTTTGGGGTGCCTATGGTGTTTGCCCAATAATTTGCCTGCCTCTGTTTCATCTGTTATTAGAGTTCTTCTTATTCTTAATACCACTGCTAACTGATTAGTTTGGAGGAATTCGGGAGACGGATCATTTGGCCTCTTCATGAAAGAATTTTAAAAGGATTTTCCCCCTTATTCATGGGCAAATCTGATTTTGCATAAAAAACATGTTCTGAGATATTTAGCATATGCTTGGTTTGCACTGGTGGGAGGCCTTAAAATTGTGGATGCTTTAAACGGCACAGCATCCTGGCTGATTTGGCTTGCTATTTTTGTCATTCACACAACGAAGGTGTTTCTCATATGTTCTTTGAATGTCATTATTCTTTTGCTATCCTGTCTGCCCTCATTCTGAATACCAGAAGACTTCTTCTTAGACCTACCATTACTTATCTTTTGGAATGAATAAATGATATAGAGAATGTTGGTTAAGATTTTAAAAACCTATATTTTCTTATATCCTGCTGCACATTCTACTTTATTTGGAAGGAAAGGAATGATAAATGCCATGGGGGCTCGATTAACTGCATATCAGCTGCTACAATCAAAATTAAGGGGACTGTTTTTGAAAGAATTTGCAATTGGAAGAAATCTTACAAGCTACTTGAAATGCTTTAATACTTTCAGGTGGATACATAATTTTTTCTGTGGCTGGTGCTGTATCTGCTTCTTTTGGGCTATCATATGGTTATCTTATGTTTTTATTGCCATTGACAATGATGTCGCCCATTTATATGAACCCCTTGGATGGTCTTCGGACAACCAGGGGTTTTGATGGCTTTTTTGAAGACATAAAATGGACATTTTTCCTGGGTCCTGGCGGGGTTCTCATCCTCCTTTTCTACTTGTGCTATTTTGGAATTGTTTTGAGTAGCAGGTTTTGATTTTTGGCTCCCTCTTTTAGATTGGGGCTCACAGTTTTGTATTTTTGGAGGTTTCTTTTTTGTTTTGGCTCCTTTGTGCTGCACCTATCTTGTGCAGGAGCCTCTGTTTTTTCATATATATTCTCATTACTTGCCGACCCCACGTAGTGGGATAAAGGCTTGATGTTGTTGTTGTTGTTGTATTTTTGTTCTGTCACCTTGAACCTTTGTTTACTGTTCTGTTTCATTTTATTTCAATCTCGTTTTTTTTTGTCCCCCCCCCCCCCCCCCCCCCCAATAAAAAAAGGCCAAGAATATTAAGTGCAGACAGCTGTGTCTTTCTGCATGTGATTTCCTTTGGACTTTAATATCAGCAATTCATTGGAAGACAGGGAAGCTTGCCAGCAAAAGCTGTAAAAAAACTGTCCAAATGAAACCTAAGCGTGCGTTTGCTTGACTTGATGTTAAGTTTTATCGTTTATGCGACGCCACATTTGACCATTTCCAGCTGGAATTCCATGGCGCTATTGATGTCTCCGATAAGTTGTCGGATTTTAAAGAAACGGTTGAGATAAAGGATGTAATGATTTCCCTTATCTTAGCCAGGATATAGTCGTGAGCCAGTAGGCTATCTAATCTGCATCTCTTCCAATCTCCTTTTTTTCTTACTGTTCAGTTGTTCTGCTCTACATCGATCGTTGTTTCCATGGAGGAAATGTTTCTTGATCCAATTATGGAGAAGATCATCAGCGCTGGCTTCCGTAACAACTCGAACGGATTCAGTTGCACTCATGTTTTCTAATGCAATTAAAAAGGAGGAAATAGTTAAATTAGAAGGCCTGGAGGAAGATGAGTGCTTGCAGCTCCTCAACTCTCATGCATTTGCTGGTGTAGAGAACCCCCCTAATGATCATAAAAAAATTAAGAACCATTGTTGGAGAGAGAGTTAAAAAGCTTTTAGGATCTGCATTGGCAGCTAAAGTAATTGGTGGTGTTCTGAAGGACAACTTGGATGAAAGGCATTGGAGGAGAGTTCTAGAAAGCAATTTATTGAATCAGAATTCTATCAATTCCATCTTAAGACTGAGCTATATAGTTCTGCCAAATCATCTACAAAATTGTTTTGCATTTTGCTGTATGTTCCCATAAGATAATGAGTTTAATAAAGATCATTTAGTCTGAATGTGGATTGCATTGGATTTCATTCAGCCATCTCAAAGAATGATTTTGGAGGATATCGGAAGAAGATATTTTGATGTTTTAGTCAAAAAAAGCTTTATGATGAAGAGTGATCTCTAAAAATTTTTGAGACTACTCGACATTTGTTTGTTCTAACTAAAAATTCAGACATCTTAAAAAAAATTGAGAAGTTTAAATATTTGCATTTGCTTTTCTTGTTCTATGGAAATTTTAATCAGGATCTCAGCAGTGCACTTATTGAAATATTTAAAGCATCGAGATACTTTTTATTATACATATTTACTGATGAATTGGAAATGATACCTGAGGAGATTAAATATTTAAAATTTGAAGATTGAAAGAGTTGAAGTCTCTAGGCTACCAAGATCTCTAAGTAATCTCTATTACTTGCAATACATAATCTACGATAATTGGACGCCAACACGGCTTAAAGTTGATGGATTTTTACCAAGTGACATTAATAACCTTTCTAATTTGCGTTACCTTGACTTTTCTGGGAATTATATTTCATCGATATATGGGATTGTGAAGCTAAACTCTCTTCTAGAATTGTATTGGTTTGATCTTAGAAATGAGATGGGCTATAGAATTGATGAGTTGAAGTATTTGAATGATCTTTGCAAATTAGGAATCAACTGCCTTGAAAGTGTGAAGGACGCCAAGGAGGCTTATCTTCAGTTCAGATACTATCTATTCATAACGTTCCTATGCTTTGTTCTGAAAGTTAGGTCTTCTCCTTGTGAGCTGGAATTTGGTCAGCTCAAATCTTTACAGTCTCTACCTTCCTCCTTGGAAATCTTTTCTTCACTTCAGAAATTATCTATTACAAATTGCCCTAATCTGATCTCTCTCGGAAGATATCGAGAAGTGGGGACCACTAATAATTTCCATCTCATGCTCAGCGATCTTAGCATAAGTGATCCATTGGTGTTGCTAATGGAGCCCTTGAGAAGTATCGCCACCTTAAAAAAGCTGAGTATTTGGTCAAATGGTAATCTGGTTTCATTTTCAAATGAGGAGGAGCAGTGGTTTCTAAAAGTTAGGTCTTCTCTTTCCTAGCTGCAATTTTTCTTTCTCAAATCCTTACATTCTCTCCCTTCCTCCTTGGAAAGCTTATCTTCAGTTCAGATACTATCTATTCATGACGTTCCTATGCTTATGGAATTACCAAACCTTCCTCCCTTTTTGAATGATCTAACAATTAGGGAATGTCATCCAGAGGTATTTGAGCGCTATGGAGAGGATGGAGGCTCCGATCGGCAAAAGATTGCTCATATTCCTGATATATATATTAAGTGCTCGTATTAGGTCCAATTGCTTTAAGGAAATTTCAAAATACAAAAGCAAACTTCTTTCTTCTTATCTTATTTGTTTGATATGGAATATGAAGAATACAATCTCAACATTAACCAGTTTGTATCACTTGATCGATGCACTCAATTTTATTTATTTATGCCTTGGTGGTCTTTTTATATATAAATATATTCTTCTTTAAAATCTAAATAGTTGTGTCAAAATTTAATTATTTGGTTTTTTTTTTCTTATTGATTTGTCCAAATGAAGCAATCATTGAACAATGATAATTGCCTTCTCTACTTTTCTTCTTGGGAAGTTAGACAAGTCATTGTTAACGGTAGTTGGTGTCTCCCCACCGCTTTTCCCCACACTATCATCAATGAAATTATAGCAATCCCTATTGCTGACCATTCTGTGGAACTATGGCTTGGTGATAGAAATCTTAATTTCAAAGATTTCTATTCGCAGTACTCTTCTCAGCCTCTGGTTAGTTGGAAAAAATTCACTTGGCATAAAAAATCTTCCCTTCATTTCTCCGTGCATGCTTGGCTGACATTCAAAGGAGCCCTCAAAACTGCTGACGTTCTAGCTTATAGAGGTCTGCATACTATGAAGCACTGTCCGTTCTATTTTGCCGAACAAGAGACCCATGCTGATTTATTTTTCGAATGTGTTTTCACTTTCTCTGTTATTAAGAGATCTCTTCCTTGGCTTGGTTTGCTTCTTATGCGTCCTAACCTGCACTAGGTTTTCGGTAGTATTATTGAGCAGGGGTTCCCTACCTCTTGTATAAATTTTTACTCCCTTCGTGGGCTGTCATTTATCAGATTTGGAGTGCAAGGAACCACAAAATTTTTGGCGGATCATTTGATTGCCATGCCACAATTATTTTTAAAATCAGGAAAGCTGTTATGACTAAGTTTGCTTTATGGAAAGACTAGCATGCTTGTTATTATTAGTTGCTTCAGTAGTACGGATGTTCTGGGAGGTTTCTGTGTTGACTTGCCAATATTTGGACCCTCGTTGTTTGCTGCTTTTGCTTCTCAATTGGTGCGCGGGGTGTTATTTTTGAGAAAGATAATGATGAATGCTCTTGTTAGCTTGTTGCCCCTTGGATGGCTTTTGGCAACCAGGGACACAGACTCTGTTTTCTTTTTGACAGCCTTCTCGTCTCGACTTTTGCATCCAAGTCCTTGCTGCTTAGCATTTTTTCCATTTTCACTTTTTTAATTCCAAGGTGTTCTTTTTTGTTTTTGAGCGCCTTGGTTTACTTTCTAAATTATTACCTTTTTTTAATGATACAGGCTTTGCCCCTAACCCCCCCCCCCAACACCAAAAAAAAAAAAAAAACCCTAAAAAAAAAAAAATCCTTACAGACAAATCACAGAAAATGTGCGTAAAATACGCTGCAGCTTCGTGTTCCCATCTAAATCAAACTACTCTTTTATTTTGAAATACATTCATTTTCTTTTTGTAAAACGGAGACGTCAGTCAACTTACCGACTACGAGGCAACTTCGTCTATTCTCTCAGTTAATCTCGGTTTACTTGACTTATGTTGTACGTGACCATTTCTGGCTGGAGTTCTCTCTCTTCCGAGCTCTGTTTCTCCTGTTGTTTAGTTGTTCTGCTCTCTCTACCTCATTCGTCGCTGCGAAGGAGGGATTTTTTGTTGGTCCATTCATGGAAAAAATCATCAACACTTGCTCTGATTACCTTAAACATCAATTCAGATGGTAGACAGGCATGAACCAGAAGCTTGAAAGGCTGCGAGAGAACCACCCCAAGATCCAAGCTGTCTTCTTTGCAGCTAACCAACCACAAATTAGCGATCAGAACCCATCTATCAACAAATGGATATGGCAGCTGCGAGATGCTATTGATGGGCAGATGATGTGCTCGATGAGTTTGAGTACATGAAGCATTAGCAAAAGCTCCCCAAAAACACTAAAGAAACAAAGGTGCGTTCCGCCACCACGGGCTTCCTATTTGATTCCGCTCGCGAATATATTTATTTATTTATTTGATAATCTTTTTCTAATTAATTAGACCAGAAATGAAAGGTCACGAGCTTCCTATTTGAAAGCTGTATTTCAGCTTGCTTTGTGTTTGCCCAATAATTTGCCTGCCTCTGTTTCATCTGTTATTAGAGGTCTTCTTATTCTTAATACCACTGCTAACTGCTTAGTTTGGGGGAATTCGGGAGATGGATCATTTGGCCTCTTCATGAAAGAATTTTATAAGGATTTTCCCTCTTATTCATGGGCAAATCTGATTTGGCATAAAAAACATGTTCTGAGATATTCAGTATATGCTTGCACTGGTGGGAGGCCTTAAAATTGCGGATGCTTTGAACGGGCACAACATTCCGGCTGATTCGGCTTTGCTATTTTTGTCATTCACACAACGAAGGTGTTTGTCATATGTTCTTTGAATGTCATTATTCTTTTTCTATCCTGTCTGCCCTCATTCTGAATACCAGAAGACTTCTTCTTAGACCTACCATTACTTATCTTTTGGAATGAATAAATGATATAGAGAATGTTGGTCAAGATGTTAAAAACCTATATTTTCTTATATCCTGCTGCACTATCTACTTTATTTGGAAGGAAAGGAATGATAGATGCCATGAGGCTCGATTAACAGCATATCAACTACTACAATTAAAATTTAGAGGGCTGTTTTTGAAAGAATTTGCAATAGGAAGAACTCTTAAAAGCTACTGGAAATGCTTTAATACTTTCAGGTGGATACATAATTTTTTCTGTGGCTGGTGCTGTATCTGCTTCTTTTGGGCTATCATGTGGTTATCTTACGTTTTTGTTGCCATGGTCAATGATGTGGTCCATTTATTTGAACCCCTTGGATGGTCTTCGGGCAACCAGGGGTTTTGACGGCTTTTCTGAAGACATAAAATGGACGTTTTTCCTGAGTCCTGGCGGGGTTCTCATCCTCCTTTTCTGCTCGTGCTATTTTGGAATTTTTTTGAGTAGCAGGCTTTGATTTTTGGCTTCCTCTTTTAGATTGGGACTCACAGTTTTGTATTTTTGGAGGTCTCTTTTTTGTTTTTGCTCCTTTGTGCTGCTCCTATCTTGTGCAGGAGCCTCTGTTTTTTCATTTTGCATGTGATGTCCTTTGGACTTTAATGTCAGCAATTCATTGGAAGACAGGGAAGCTTACCAGCAAAAACAGTAAAAAAACTGTCCAAGTGAAACATAAGCGTGCTTTTGCTTGACTCGACGTTAAGTTTTATCGTTTATGCGACGCCACATTCGACCATTTCCACCTGGAATTCCTTGGCGATATTGATGTCTCCGATAAGCCGTCGGATTTCAAAGAAATGGTTTAGATGAAGAATGTAAGGATTTCCCTCATCTTAACCAGGATATAGTCGTGAGCCAGTAGACTATCTAATCTGCATATCTTCCAATCTCTTTTTTTTTTTCTTACTGTTCAGTTTTTCTGCTCTACATTGATCGTCGTTGTCATGGCGGAAATGTTTCTTGATCCAAATATAGAGAAGATCATCACTGCTGGCTTCCGTTACCTGAAAGATCAAGTCAGATGGCATACAGGCATGAAGGAGGATCTGGTAAAGCTGCAAGAGAATCTCCCCAAGATCCAAGCTGTTGGCCACTTTGCTTCTTGACAAATGGCAATGGCAGCTACGCGATGCCATTGATGATCCATATGACGTGGTTAATGAGCTGGAGTACATGGAACTTGAAAAACAGGTGACCAAAGACAAGAAACTGAGAAGCGACTGGGGAAAAGACTAGTCAAAATTGGCAAACGACCTCTCAAAATTGATCCCACCTTGAAGCGACTGGAGGAAGCTGTACAGAAACTTGATAAAGTTTCAACAACTGAAGCAGCAGCTTGAGCCTGAAAATGATCTCTTTTGGCGGGGCAAGGATAAGGAGCTTTTTATGGAGTGGCTGAGGAATCCATCAAATGAGCATCGGGGAACTGATTTGTACAAAAACATTTCTCTTCTATCTATAGTGGACCATGGTGGTATGGGGAAGACAACTCTCTTGCAACATGTTTATGAAGATGAAATGACAAAGGAATTTGATCATAAAATGTGGGTTTGTGTTTCTAAGAACTTTGATATGAAAAAAGTTGCAGATATGCTGGAGTGTCTCAAGGAGAGGCCTCGTTTTGAGACACTTGGGCACTTCAAGGGGGTCTCAAGGAGGAGGTGATGTCCAAAACATTCTTACTTATGCTGGATGATGTTTAGCAGGAGGATGAGGAGAAGGATAAAAGCAAATGGGAGGATTTGCTCGCCCCTTCTAGCTTCTGGGGGTTTTGGTAGTAAGATTCTGATAACAACTCTAACGGAATCAAGTGCACTAATGCTTGCAAATGTAATTAAAAGGGAGGAAATAGTTAAATTAGAGGGCCTAGAGGAAGACGAGTGTTTGTAGTTCCTCAACTCTCATGCATTTGCTGGTGTAGAAAACCCGCCTAATGATCATAAAAAATTAAGAACCATTGCAGGAGAAAGAGTTAAAAAGCTTTTAGAATCTCCATTGGCAGCCAAAGTCATTGGTGGTGTTCTGAAGGACAACTTGGATGAAAGGCATTGGAGGACAGTTCTAGAAAGCAATTTATTGAATCAGAATTCTATCAATTCCATCTTAAGACCGAGCTATATAGTTCTGCCAAATCATCTACAAAATTGTTTTACATTTTGCTGTATGTTCGCACAAGATCATGAGTTTGATAAAGATCATTTAGTCTGAATGTGGATTGCATTGGGTTTCATTCAGCCATCTCAAATAATGATTTTGGAGGATATCAGAAGAAGGTATTTTGATGTTTTAGTCAAAAAAAGCTTATGATGAAGAGTCATCTCTCAAAATTTTTGAGACTATTCGACATTTGTTTGTTCTAACTAAAAATCCAGACATCTTAAAAAAGATTGAGAAGTTTAAACATTTGCATTTTCTTTTCTTGTTCTATGGAAATTCTAATCAGGATCTTTGCAGTGCACTTATTGAAATATTTAAAGCATCAAGATGCTTGTTATTATACATATTTACTGATGAATTGGAAATGATGCATGAGGAGATTAAATATTTGAAACATCATCGATATTTAAAGATTGAAAGAGTTGAAGTCACTAGGCTACCAAGATCTCTAAGTAATCTCTATTACTTGTAATACATAATCTATGATAATTGGATGCCAACACGGCATGAAGTTGATGATTTTTTACCAAGTGACATTAATAACCTTTCTAATTTGTGTTATCTTGACTTGTCTTGGAATTATATTTCATCGATATATGGGATTGGGAAGCTAAACTGATGTGATACGTTCAAGAATTGCACATGAAATTCATTAAGAATCACAAAGTGTACCAATATAAGAGTAGAGTATCGTAGGTTAAGGTCCAAGAATTTTCCGTTGTCAAAATGTTATGATAATCAATTACAAACTAGTTGTTTAGGCACAATTAATGATAGATCTCCAAAAGTATCACAATAAAGCAAATGCGGAAATTAATAGAATCCCACGGTTAATGTCTAGAAAGTTCACAACGAGTTACCTTGCTCACTCACACTCAAGTAGGGCTTAGCGGGAGAAGGTATTTAGCAAACTCAACGATGCCACTAAGACGGTAGCAACACCAATGACCTTGATACATGGGGAGGTTAACGGTGATGAGGATGGCGTGAATGCTCGACTGTCGATGCTCCAATTGTAGTTTAAAAATCGTCGGTCGACGATGCTCGCAAGAATCGGGACGACTCTCTCCAAATATTCTTCAACGGTGGTCTCGTCTTCAAATCCCTTGTCAAAGCACGGAGATCTTAGGATGTTGATGCTTCCGTCGGCGTTGAATACAAGACCCCGCTCAAGTTCGGGATCCGCCATTCAACATCGAAGTGAGGGTGATGGGCGTCGTCTTCTTCTTCTCTTGCTTCAAGTGTTGTGAGCCTTCGAAATTCACCAAGGTAGGGAAAGGGGAGTGGTCGGCCAAGGTGGGGAGAGAGGGGGCGGGTGAGTTGGGAGAGAGATTCTAGATTAGATGGGGAAGGAAGATAGTTACTAAAATCTGAAACTAATCTCAGATTTTTAGTTAATTTGGAGGGAAGCGATTTGAAAATAATTTCAAATCTCAATGAGAATTCAGGGGGATTAATGGGCATTTAATGGGATCCATGAAGAGGGGGGCCGGAGGCTCATTAGAGGAGGGAGGGGGTTTCTAATTCAAAACCTGAAATTAATTTCAGGATTTTAAGTGAAAAGAGAGGGAGATTAATTTGAAATTTGATTTCAAATTAAGGAGACATTAATGAATTAATTGGGACATTAATGGAGCAATCAATTGGGGAGAAAACCCTCATGGGGCCGGCGGCAAGGTGAGAGGGGGAGAGGGGAATTAGTGGGATGTGGCTTCCAATTTGGATTGATGACGTGGCACCATAATTAAAAACTCCAATTTAAATTAAATTGAAATTGGAATTCGTCATGAAAACTTTCCAAATTTGGAATTCCGAATTAGGAAAGAATTTGAAATTTTGAAATTCAAATTTCAAATTTGAAAATTTCGGATAGATGGTTGGGTGTTGAGTGGGAAAGGAAGTTGCCGGCAAGGGGGGCCGGCTGGTGCCGTGAGGTGGTGGGCGGCGGGCTTCCAAGGAGGAGGCGGCAACAAGAATTTGGTCAAATAATAATCTGGTTTCATTTTCAAATGAGGAGCAGTGGTTTCTAAAAGTTAGATATTCTCTTTCCGAGCTGCAATTTTTCTTTCTCAAATCCTTACAGTCTCTCCCTTCCTCCTTGGAAAGCGTATCTTCAGTTCAGATACTATCTATTCACGACGTTCCTATGCTTAGGGAATTACCAAACCTTCCTCCCTCTTTGAATGATCTAACAATTAGGGAATGTCGTCCAGAGTTATTTGAGCGCTATGGAGAGGATGGAGGCTCCGATCGGCAAAAGATTGCTCACATTCCTGATATCTATATTAAGCGCTCTTATTAGGTCCAATTGCTTTAAGGAAAATTTCAAAATACAAAAGCAAGCTTCTTTCTTCTTATCTTATTTGTTTGATATGAAATATGAAGAATGCAATCTCAGCATTAACTAGTTTGTATCACTTGATCGATGCACTCAATTTTGTTTATGTATGACTTGGTGGTCCCTTTATATAGAAATATATTCTTCTGTAATATTTCGCTATATATGTCGTTAAATTTCAGATTTTCATCATTTCTTTGGTTGAAAGGCTGTGAGAGAACCAACCCAATATCCAAGCTGTCTTCTTTGCAGCTAACCAACCACAAATTTGCGATCAGAACGGCTATCAACAAATGGATATGGCAGCTGCGAGTTGCTATTGATGGGCAGATGATGTGCTCGATGAGTTTGAGTACATGAAGCATAAACAAAAGTTCCCCAAAAACATGAAAGAAACAAAGGTGCGTTCCGCCAACACGGGCTTCCTATTTGATTCTGCTGGCGAATATATTTATTTATTTATATGATAATCTATTTCTAATTAATTTGACCAGAAACGAAAGGTCACGAGTTTCCTATTTGAAATCCTCGTAAAATTCTCAAAATTGGCGAATGACTCAAAAAGGGATCCCAACTTTTAAGTGACTGAAGGAGGCTGTGCAGAAACTTGATAAAGTTTCGGCTGATGTTACCACTTTCCATCATCTTTTAGACAGCGCGAAGCAGGAATAGAATGAGCAGGAGGTTGATTTCTACAAAACACATGAAACAAGATATTTGCCTAAAAATGATCTCATCGGGCAGCGCAAGGAGAAGGAGCTTGTTATGGAGTGGCTGAGGAATCCTTCAAATGACTATCAAACTACTTTGTAGGGTAACATTTCAATAACTCTTCAACACCCCAAACATTTCCCCCCACTCACTTAACCACTTGCCTGTTGGCAGCTCAATTCCCATTTACCTTCTCCCTTCCCTTAAAAGGGGTTTTTCTTTCTGCCTCTACATCCTCTATCCTGGACCTGATGGCTACACCTTTGAATTTTTCAAAAGCACATAGGATGTTACTGGACAACAGGTTTGTTGTACTATTTTAAACTTTTTCCAAAAAGGCCGCATTCCAAAAGGTTCCAAATCCACTACAATCACTCAAATCCCAAAAAAATCCCGTGCATCTTTTATCTCCGATTTCCATCCAATCTCCTAATGTAATTTATTTTATAAGATTATTACTAAGATTATTGCCAACAGGATGAAATGTGTTATGCCTCACATTAGCTAATGAGGCCCTCTCTGAATTCAATTCTCATGGAGCTCAAAATCTTTTTTGTGCAGAGTTTGATATCTTCAAAGCATTCAATACAGTGTCAAGAGAATTCTTGATTTGTAGGCTCTTACAAAAAGGTTTTCCTAGCACTTTTGTTTCATGATCAAAGGCATGTATTATGGATGTGAATTTCTCTATTTGTTTCAATGGAGCCCTTGAGGGCTATTTTAGCTCCACCTTTGGCCTTAGGCAGGGATGGCCCTTTTTGCATAGCTATGAATGCTTTGTCTTGCCTTTTAGATAAAGCTGTGCTGGATTCTTCCTTCAAAGTCATATCTAAAGGCTACTCTCAACTGACCCATTTAATATACGTTGATGAACTGCTGGTCTTTGGGTAGGTTACTACTCAAAATGCAATCTCCCTAAACAATATCCTTAATGTTTTTGCTAATTCCTCTGGGCTTCACAGGAACCGGGCAAAAAGTTCTATTTTGTTTTCAAAAAATGCTACTTCCTTCCCTGCTATTTATAGTCTGTTAAACATCCCTCTCCCTCTAAAAATTCACCTACCTTGGCCTCCCCATTTCTCCTTACAGGCTGATTTCCTTTTGACTTACAACCTCTTCTTCAAATAGTATCTTGATTATTAGATGGTTAGAAAGCTCTAACTTTTGTCTTTTGCTGGGAGACATCAGTTCTTAAGGTTTACTATCTATAACACTATTGCTGATTGATTAAGAGGAGTTATTATACCTAAAGCTGGGATTAAATTCATAAACAAGGTATAATCCAGATTTCTTTTTCATGGTTTTTCTTCGGGGGAAAAAATTACATATCTTTTTGAAAGATTTTTGTAAACTCAGATGGTTTGGGGGTCTGGGTATACTGGCGATTCCTTCTTTGTACAATGGCTTTTGCTGCTCTTTAATTTGGCATATTATTAATGGGAGCAATCTCTTGTCTTATTGGCTGAAGCTCAAGTACAAATCTCCTTGGAAGCATCCTCCTAATAGAGCTTCCAAATGCTGGAAGCTTCTTTGCTTGGTGGCTTTGAAGATAAAAGGTTTGATTTCCTTCTCTATTGTGAAAAACAGCAAATTGTCCCTCCTATAGGACTCATGGTGCAATGGTTATGCCTTATACGGATTCGTGGATGGTGATAATCTTAACTTAACAGATTTGCCCTGAATTCTATTATTTTTGTTCATAGCTATAAAATTCCTCCTCTTTTTTCTCTGACTGTCAAAAATGCTATCTCCAATATTAGCATCTTTGAGCATGGCTCCTCTACTATCTACTGGTTGGAATCTTCTAATCCTAATTTTAAAAACTTCTACTTTAATTTTTTTGATGGATATCAGAAGGTGGTTTGATTTATGGTATTTACTGGCGATTTTCTTCTTGTTGATTAGACTAGAGAGCTAGTTGAAGGTAAACCTGAATTATGGAGGTCAACCTTAGAGTTTAAATGTTTTTGTTTGAGTAGATCTAAAATCGAATATATGGAGTATAATTTTAGTAGTAATAGATCTAGTGGGGGGATTGTGACTTTGGTCAATCAAGTCATTAATAAGAGTACACGCTTTAGATATCTTGTGTCTATTGTTCAGAGTGATGGTGAAATAAAAGGGGATATTGTTAGTAGAATTCAAATTTAATGGTTGAAGTGGAGTAATGCATCAAGCTTGTTGTGTGATAGAAAAGTACCCCCAAATTTAAGGGAAAATTCTATAAAATGGTGGTGAGACCTGCAATATTGTATGGCGCAGAATATTGGCCATTAAAAGAGAAGCATAATATTAAGTGTTGCAGAGATGAGGATGCTCAAGTGGATGAGTGACGTTACTCTTAGCGATAGGATTTAGAACGGGCATATACATGAAAAGGTTGGAGTAGCTCCAGTGAAAGATAAGGTTTGGGCACATAAAACGACAGCCTTCTGATGATCCGGTTAGGAGAGTAGATATATTAGATTTGGCTTATGTTAAGAAAGATAGAGGTAGACCTAAAAAGGCTTGATTAGAAAATTTAAGAAATGATTTTTCTTTGTTAGATTTAATGAGAATTTGACTCTTAACAATGCACAATGGGGAAAAAGGATTCATGTTCTGACCCCACATAGTGGGATAAATGCTTGATGTTGTTGTTGTTGTTGATCTCGGAAGGTTGCCTGGCATGATTTTATTTGGCATAAGAGGTATGCCATTCGGTGTTCATGTTTTGCTTGGATGGCCTTTGTCAAGGGATTAAAGACTGTTGATATCCTCATTTTGTGGAATGTATCTTCCCCTTCCTCCTGCTTCTTATGTTATTCCTACCCAGAAACACTCTTGTTTGACTGTGATTTTTTATTCCAAATTCTATCTTCTTTCCTGCCTTGGGCGGAGGGATTTTTATTGAGACCAAACTTGCAACAGCTAGAAGAATACATGATTGAAAATCCCTGTTCAGTAACCGCCCCTTCTTTAGCCTCTACTGCCTTCTTAACTTGCTGTTCTATATACTTTATTTTGAATGAAAGAAATGCTAGGAGGTTTGCTTCTGATTTTAATTGTTGGACCTATGTGAAATTGAGCATCAACCAAGCTATTTTGAAGAAGATTTTGTGCTGGAAACATTTCAGTAACATCAAGCAATTCATTTGTTAACTGGATAGTTGTTGGCCTGCTGCTTTTTTTTGGTTTATATTAGCTTACCTGTTTCAACTTTATTGGGTGTATGGCTGGAGTTTCAGGATTTATGAACAAAGACTATGATGAATGTGGATTTTAACCATCATCTTGCTTTTGCTACTTGGAAGGTCTTTCTTTTCGCAACAAGGGGCCTTTCCTCGCCTTGGAAGGCCCACTCGGAAACTGGGGGAACTGACATCCACATGATAATATCCAATTTTTGGGTTAATTTCATTTTGTACATTCTAAGTCCTTTAAGTTTTGCTGTTACTTGTTCCCCATATCTCTTATGTCTCCTGTTTCTTTCCTTCCAGGTTTTGGCTGTTTTTTAGTTTTAGGATCACTTATATGTGCTCTTTGGGATTTTGAGCTCATAATTTTTTGGTTGCTCAGGTTACTGGTTTCATTTGTTTTTTTTTTCTTTGAGCCATGCTCTTTGTAATTTTTCTTTATACTAAATGGATTCGAACTAAGCCCCTAATTTCTCCCCAAAAAATATCAAACAACTTTGTACTACAACATTTCTCTGCCATGCATAGTGGGTCGTGGTGGTATGGGGAAGACAACTCTCTTGCAACATGTCTGTAAAAATGAAATCACAAAGGAATTTGATCATAAAAATGTGTGTTTCCCACAACTTTGATATGAAAAATGTGGGGTTGTGTTTCCAACAACTTTGATATGAAAAATATGTGTTGGAATCTCTTAAGGAGAGGCCTTGTTTGGAGACACTTGAGGCACTTCAAGATAGTTTTCGGACTGAGATGATGTCCAAAAAGTTCTTATTTGTGCTGGATGACATTTGGGAGAATGATGAGAAGCAGGATAAAACTAAATTGGAGGAAGTGCTTGCCCCTTTGGCTATGGGAATTTTGGTATTAGGATTTTGGTAACAACTCGAATGGACTCAGTTGCAATGATGATTGCAAATGTCATTTAAAAGAAGGAGATATTTAGGATTTTTTTCGGATAAGGGTGAGGAAGGAATTTTGATATTTTAGTCAAAAATCTTTCTTTGACTAGTTTGAAGATTTAGAATACTACAAAAATCTAGAATACTACAAGATGCATGATTTACTATATGAGTTTGGCACATAATATTTTTGCACAGGAATGCCTCAAAGTTGTGGGTGATGAATTGTTTCCTCTTGTAATTCTTGGGCCCTTCGACACTTGTCTGTTCCAACTTCAAATCTAGGCAATCTTAAGAAAGATAGGGAAGTTTAAATATTTGCATTTTCTTTTCTTGTTTTGGTACTGTGAAACTTTTAATTAGGATATTTGCAATAAGACCACCTTTAGATAAACCAGTAGTCATTCTAAACCAGCAGTCATTCTAAAGAAAATCATTAGAAGACCATTTGTAGATAGTCCAATAAATCTTATTAACATGCAACCATACGTAAATATCAACCAGAATGAAGGCAATTTCACAAACTTCTGTAGCAGTAATAATTAGACATTAACCAAAGAAAAAGAAAACAAACCAAGCAACATGGATTAATATACAAGGAGCTGCAGTTGTAATTTCAAAGACCACCAGGATCTCGCTTTTGGTAATTGAATTATATATTTATATTATTAGTATTAAATACGCATTAATTGAGTTTGATTAAATCTCGTTTTTGACATAGATTTGAAAAAAAAACTTATTTGGAAAGAATTATAAATAAGTTTTAATAAGATTTAAAATCTGGTAATGTTTAAATTTGATTCAAATTTGATAAGAAAATAAATGGTTTAACTTGAATATTATAGTATTAAGGTCAATTTAGATTATTTATAGCCTTAAGCTTCAACCCCAATAATAAAATGAATTCACTGGGAGCATAATTTGATAATATATTTATCTCAAAATAATGTAATAGCTATAAAAATCATCTCGATGAAATTTAAGTTTTTCCCCCTTCTTTTTGGTTAGCTCCTAACACCTTTATTAAAAAGTACAAATGAGATTGCATGTATCTTTAAAATAAATAAATCAATAAAGAAAATTAATACGAAAGTTGTTGAAATTGCAAAAATTTTAATGATGGCTTAGTGGCATATATAAATATATATACAATAAATATGGATTATCAAAAAGAAAAAAAAATCATAGGTTAAAGATGACTTATCATTCAAAATTCATAGAAAGAAGTTTGCTTATGTATTTTGAAATTTTCCTTAAAGCAGTCGGATATGAGGAATGCAAGCAATGTTGTGCCAATCGGGAATGCAAGCAATCTTGTGCCAATCAGAAACTCCATTCATTCGAATGCGCTCCTTTTAACTCTGGATGACATTGATGAATTGTTAGAAATTTCAAAGAGGGAGAAAGGTTTGGTAATTCTCGAAGCATAGGAACTTCATAAATATATAGTGAGTGGAGAGAAGAATGGGTAGGAAGCAAAGAATTCAGGTACTGCAATGATTCGAGACGGACAAGATTTAATTTCTCCAGAGAGGCAGCTGAGGAACATCATCTACACGTGATTTCTGAAGTGAAGATAAGCTTTCCAAGGAGGATGGGAGAGACTGTAAGGATTTGAGCTGTTCAAATTTCAGCTCACAAGAGATGAACTAACTTTCTAACTTTCAGAAACCACTGCTCTGCCTTATTTGGAAATGATACCAGCTCATCATTCTCCTCAATACTAAGCTTTTCTAAGGAGGCGATACTTCTCAATGGCCCCATTAGCAACACTGATGGTTCACTTATGTTGAGACCGCTGAGTATGAGATGGCAATTATTAGTTGTCTGCACTTCTCGATGTCTTCCGAGAGAGATTAGATTGGGGCAATTTTTAATTTTCAAGTAGCTGCGAATCTTTTGCTATTTCATCAGCTAGAAGAAGAGTTGTGAAGTTTCTGTAGCGAGTGACCTCTAATGTTTCAAGGGGAACAGAATTTGAAATGCTACCAAAATTCGAAGTCTTCCACCTCATAATTCCTATCTTCAAGCTCTTGAGCTTAGGAAGCAATTGGGGCAACTCTTTCAACTTCGGGCAGTCAATTAGCTCTAGTTCAATTAAGCAAGGAAACAAACATCCATCTTCAATTAAGCTACTCCTGCCTCAAATTAATCCTCTAATGCTACAGGTGGTCTTCTAATAATTTGTTGTGAATATCTATGATTTAAGTGGAGTTTTTGTTTCAGCTACATCTCTTATTTTTGTGGGTTTTTTGTTTCTGTCTAGTGAATGTCTCAGATTTTTGTGTGGCACTGTCGGCTGACCAACTTATCTCGAGGAACATTCCTGCTCACTGTCTTTTTTGCAATTGTAATCTTGAAACTGCTTCTCACTTGTTCTTCAAGTATGATCTCTCTTTTAGCATTTTAAAAGCTCTTTTTCCTGGGGCTGCTATTTTCTTGCTTAGATCTAACATTATATATGTTTTCAACGACATCAATGGTAATTCCCACCTCTTTATGGATACATTTTTTTTTTCTCTATTTGGTTATCTGTGCTTCTATTTATTTCCTTTGGCGTGAAAGAAACATGAGAAGGTATGGTGGCTCTATCTCCTCTCTAAATGCTGTTTGGTTTTGATTAAAAAGGCCATCAAGGATAAAATTAGATGCAGGAAGAATTGTGATAAGTTTTGGACTTATCTATACTAATTTTCTTTATCCTTATATTTCTTTGGACTTCGGGACTGGACTAATATTTGTGGTTATTGTTGCTGCTGGGTACTTTTTGTATGCTGGGTAGATTGTTTTGGTCGGACAATGATGAGGTAGGATTCCTGCACTCCCCTTGGATAGCCATGGCTTGCTTTGACAACCTTGGTGGTTGATTCTCTCGTTTTGGTCGGACAATGGTGTCCGTTGTTTGGGATTTGGGACTTCTTGCTGCTTCATTCTCTCGTGCTTGTCCTCTGTATGGTTTTTTTGCTGCTGCCTCCAATGGATGGTCCTTGTTTGGCAACCGGGTGACAAACTTTTCTGTTGGTTTTGCAGGAAGCCTCCTGTCATTTCCCCCGAGTCCGATAGGCCTCATGGCCTTCTTAACTGATTTTTGGTTATTTTTGCTGCCTACATGATGACTAAATTTTAGGTTATTTTACTTTTTGAGGTTGCTTTGCAATATGTAGTTTATTTTGGTGATTAAAGCTTTGTGATCTTAGTTTTGGCCTCCTTTTGGGCGTACGTTTGTTAGTCCTTTTTTCATTTAAAGAAATTTGGGCTCATCCCATAGTTTTTCCAAAAAAAAAAAAAAATCCATGATTGCAACTCATTGTAATGGCGTTCAAACTTGTGGAGGACCTTTTTTTTTTTTTTGGAATTTTCAGCTGCAGGTCTTTGAATATTCTTCTGCTAGATGATTGCTTGGTTAGTTCTTTTTCTTAGCTACTTTGGTTAATGTGGGATTCTCTTCTACAGAAGATTGTGAAATTATATGTGATACTGCTATTAATTTGAAAGGGAGCTTTGTCTTTAATGTGATTGCTAATTCCCCTATCTCTCTAATGTGGGATCATTGGTGTAATGGGGTGTGCTTATCTGAACTCCCTCATAACTCCTCTATCATTAATGGTTTCTCTTCTGATTTTCCTCTCTCGGTTATTGTGGATTCTAATGGTTGGAAATTTTCAGTGGCTGTTCAAGATCCCATCCTAAAACTTATTCTCTGTTTCCATTCATGTTGATTCTGCTGGTTTTTTATGGGAAAAATGGGAGGATTAGGTGTTTTGGTGACTATTTGCTGGATTTCTACTCAAATGAGATGGAGGTGTCTTGGTATAAAACTGTTTGACATAAGTATGCTGCCACTCATTTTTCTATCTATGGCTGGCTGAGCTTGGTTGGTGGTCTCAAAACATCTGATGAGCTGATTAAGAGAAATATTCATGTGGATCCTTTATGCTGTTTATGTTATGCTAAACCTAAAAGTTCATCACACCTCTTTTTTTTGAATATGACTACATTTACTCTATTATCACTGATCTCATGCCTTGCCTAAAATCATTTCTATTGCGTCCAAATTTATATCAGTTTGCTAATTTTAATATCCTTGGTGGATGCATTGGCTGTACTGACGGTTTTTCAGACTTCTGGGAGTTTTGTTACTAAGATTATGGTAACAACTCGGATGGACTCAATTGCACTGACATTTGCAAAGGTTATTAAAAAGAAGGAAATAGTTAAGATTAGAGGGCCTAGAGGAATATAGAGTGTTTGCAGTTCCTCAACACTCATGCATTTGCTGATGTAGAGAAGCTTAATGATCATAAAAAATTAAGAGCCATTGCTGGAGAGTTAGGAAAAATGCTTTCAGGATCTCAATTGGAAGCAAAAGTTATTGGCGGTGTTCTGAATTCTAATTTGGATGAAAGGCGAGTGATGACAGTTCTTGAAATCAATTTAAGTACTACAACTATGGGTCAAATTATATCTTTTCCATCTTAAGACTGAGCTATATAGGTCTGCCAATGCCTCTACAAATTTGTTTTTAATTTTGTTATATATATATATATATTGGAAGAAAATTACCTCAGGAAGTTCTGATGTGATTTACATATTTCTCTAGACTTTGGAATGTGGGGACTGGACTGCTATTTACTTTAATGACATTAAAGTAAAATAAATTTTGGAGAGTAGCATGTGGGTGGATCTGTATTACTAACTTACTATGTGGCAGACAAAACTATCTTTGAGCATGTGAATATACTTTACTAAGTGGCAGGCAGCTGTCTTTCTGCATGTGATGTCCTTTGGTCTTTAAGGTCATTAATTCATTAGAAGATAGGAAAGCTTGCCTCATTTTGGGAGTAAGAGCAAGTAAAATTTCATTTGCATTAAATTAATTTAACTATGATTGATCAACTAGAATTGAATTAGCTCATTATCTAATGTGTTTAAATTAATTTGCATGAGGGGTTTTAAATGGTTTAGTTTTTGACTTATCTTGTTCAAGTCATGTGATTCAAATATATTATTCAATATTCTCTTGTTGTTGTAAATTTTCATGATTTAAGTAGAGTTTTTGTTTCATTTACTCTTGTTTATGTTGGGTTTTTGTTTTGGTACAAACAAATTGAATTGGAACATGATATTCACAAATATTTTTGAACATGAGCTCAACTCTAATGAACAAATTTTTGAAGGAGCCAAACACAAATAAACAATGGTTACCTCAAGTTAGGATCATTTCCAACCCTAAAGCCCATTTTATTCATTTTATTATTGATTATGTCTTAGGGCTATAAATGAATTAAAACAAGATAATAACTATAATGTTTAAAGTCATTCATTTATTTTTATATCAAGTTACTTGAATTTCAAATCTTAATAAAATTTATTTACAAGTCTTTTTTTCTTGAGTTCAAGAAAACACTTTACTAATTATGCATTTGCTATTCATAATTTAAGTATATTAGAAAAGTTTAAATCTGCCCATTTAACTAATTATTCATAATTTAATGCATCAAATAAAAAATGAATCAATCATTAGATTATTAAGTTTTCATATTACTAGGGAACTATTTATTAAATAATTAAAACAAGCATGTTCAATAATATAAATAAGAAAGTTAGGCTGCACACATTTATTATATAATGGATTTTTAAAATTTATTCAGTTATTTTATATAAAAATATAAATTGGTATCAAATATGAATAAAATGATAAATAAAATGATTTTCCCATCAAAATCAAACTGCTCATTTATTTTAAAATAAATTCATTTTTTTTTTTAAAAAGGACGACTTGAGTAGCCTTACGACTACGCAGCAGCTTCATCTTTCTCTCTTCACTTACTTGACTTCCGCTGCACATTACCATTTCCGGCTGGAATTCTTTTTTCGCTAATCACATCTCCGCAAAGCCGTCAGATTTCTCTTATCCTTTAGGGGGTGTTTGGTATCGGATTTATTTCGATTTTTAAGCAGGATTTATGGTAAATCCAGCCAAACGCAAAAAAACGTCGCAATAAATCCGGTAAATCCGTAAATCCCGGATTTGCGGATTTACGGCGTAAATCCGCTAAATCCCGGTAAATCCTAATCCAGGTAGAAGTCGTCTTTACGGGATTTGGCCGAAGAAGCGAGCGAAAGGGAGAAAATGATTACCTTCGCTACGGCGAGCTCCCTCTGTCTTCGTCTTTACTTCCGATCCAACATAAGAACGGCAAGCTGCCGTTACTTCCGATCCGAAAGGAAGATACGTCGTCGAAGGAGGCGAAGAAGTTTTTAAGCGGCTCGTTCAAACTATTACCTCTTACGTGAAGCGCAGTCGAAGTAGAACTGCTGAAGAAGGAAAATCAAACCTTGGCTTTCTGCTAAAGCCACAGCCGAAAAATTCTTGAAATCGGCAGGCATTCCATTGTAATTAATTAATTTAATTCAACTGGTTTAGTAAAATTAATTAAAAATATAATATAATTAATGCATAATTTGTAGTAGAATTATTAATTAACATGATGAGAATATATTGTTTTTAAGCAGGAAGAACTAATAGAATTAATAGAAGATATACAAATCAGCAAGAATTATTTAATCACCGACATGCAGTCAACTACGAAAGGTGGTAGATAGAACATTCGGGATTTGGAAAGAACGTTTTCAAGTGTTTTCGTTGAATGATGTTATGTTTGGTTAATTATTTGGCATATTACTCCTTTTATTTTAAATCTCCAACCATTTTAAATTCTGTAATATGTTGCCAAACATCTTTTTGGATTTAACAGGATTTAAAATTTTTCATACCAAACACAATTCAGAATTTATGAGCCTAGGATTTACTAAATTCGGATTTACTAGATTTAGTAAATCCTACTAAAATTGAATCCAATCTTATACCAAACACCCCCTTAAAAGGCAATCAGCTTAGAGAGTCTAATCTTCAAGTCGGATGGCAGACAGGCATGAAGAAGGAACCGGAAAGCCTGCGAGAGAACCACCCCAAGATCCAAGCTATCGTCTTTGCCCCTAACCAAGCTCAAATCAGCAATTAGAACCCGGCTTTCAACAAATGGATGCGGCAGCTGCGAGATGTTATTGATGAAGCAGATTATGTGAAGCATGAAGAACAGATGAACCAAAACATGGAGGAACAGAGGTGCGTTCTCTATCATCTGCTACCTATTTGATAAAGGTTGCAAATAAATATATTTATTTGATAATCTATTTCTCACTAATTTTATCAGAAAAGAACCGCGTTTTCCAACGCGAGCTTAAATATTCGCAAAGTTGGCGAAAGTGCTCTCAAGATTGATCCGAACTTGAAGAGGATGGAGGAGGTTGTGCAGGTACAAGCACGTGAAACAGGATCCTTGCCTACAAATGATCTCATCGGTAGAGGCTAGGCTAAGGAGCTTGTTATGGAGTGGCCGAGGAGTCCATCAAATAAGCCTCGGGAAACTGATTTATATAGAAACATTTCTCTTCTATCTATAGTGGGCCA